GTGCCTACCTTCAACTCTCCTTGCTCTACTCCCGCGCCTACCTTCAACTCTCCTTTCTCCACTCCCGCGCCTACCTTCAACTCTCCTTGCTCCACTCCCGCGCCTACCTTCAACTCTCCTTGCTCTACTCCCGCGCCTACCTTCAACTCTCCTTGCTCCACTCCCGCGCCTACCTTCAACTCTCCTCGCTCCCCTCCTCGTACAGCGCCACCATGGCGCGGTGAATGGCGACGATCATGTCGCTGCACGTCATCGATCGGCCGTGGTCGCGGAAGGCGAGTCGGTTGCACTCGCGCGTCAGTAGGCAGGCGGCGTATGCCGCGCACGCGCCCGCGCCATGTTTCCGCAGTGTCGGCCTGCAGCGGAGGAGAGAGCGATCGACGCGTGAGACGACGGGAATGGGTGATGACGTCGCCGCGGTGATCGACACCCCCTGGGCCCGTCGCAATTGGCAAATCACAGAGACGACTGGAACGCGCGGGGCAGGACGTCGCTAAGGGCCTGCTAATTTTTTTTATAAAAAATGGATAAAATATACTAGTTCTCAACCTCTCTTTACTCAACATGTCTTGGAATTTGTTTTTTTAACCTTCATTCTCATGTAATCCCTTCTGTATACAACGCATTTCAAGCATAGGGTAGGATTGAGTAATCAAAGTGATCCTTGTACGCATTATGCAAATGGCAAATCATCAAGATTGCGGGGGAAGGAATGTGATAGGAGCCAAAACTCGCGTCCAGGGGCCCGTCGTCGAAAACAGAATCGGTCGTAACATCAGTCTTAACGTTAACTTTTCCTTGTAGACCGGCGAGAAAAAACCGAGTTGAAGGTGAAGTTACGAGTTTCTCGCACGCAGCGTGTAGAGTTTAAAGCTACAAGAAAAAGTTGAGACTAATTTGAATTTAAATGTCGCATTCCTTCTCCTAAACCTTGATGATTTGCCAGTTGCATAATGCATCATTTTGCATTATTTCATCCTTTCGATATTGCCAATCCTACCCCATACTTTGAATGCCTTGTATACAGGGGGATCACAAGTTGAGAACAAAGGTAAAAAAAACAAATTCCAAGACATGTTAGGTAAAGAGAGGTTGAGAAATGTAACTAGTGTATTTTATCCATTTTCTATAAAAAGAAATTAGCATATAAATATAGATATTGATTCCATAACGTTGTGTGGGGATAACTGAATATTAACCTACTGTGAGATTATTACTGGGGGCTATTTATTACCAAAACATTAGATATTGTGATTATCTCTGCCCCCAGCCCCAAGCTTACTCCTGAGTGTCATTCTCCACAGCCATACTGCTCCAGTGTAGAAAACTCCCCATGCTGCCTGAGAGAAGGTCACCTTGGCCTCCGCACCTACGTAGACTTCCCTGACCGTCGCACTGCATAACTGAAAGTTAATGTGACCAATCAAACTAGGATACAACTTATTAATCTTAAACTGAACAAGCTATAATTAAAGCATGTGACACATCATGAAAGTTAGAAAACGCATTTATCATTGATTTCTTAAGCAGGGGTGAATGTTAAAAAATTGGTCAACATACCATGGTGTCCGTCCGATATGATATCAACGGCACCTTTACGAACTACAGTGACGTTGCCCATTGCACGGCTGAGCTCTGAAACACTCGCAGCTACAGTGTCAACTCCACAGTTGGGATCCTTTCCAAGCTATAATATTGAAACAAAAATATAAGCATCGCTTTAGAAATTCATGAAAACGTGTGTAAGAGTGTAAACAACCTGTGAATAGATGTTATAAATTCACCGTTTAGAACCATATCGTTAGATTATGATGTGAAAGTGTATTTTCCCCTGCAGTGCTCCAAACAACCAGCTGTATTCAAAAACAACAGTAACACGCTTACACATTTGCCAGCCACGCAGATTGCATGGCTGTTGAAGAGAGATGAAATCACACAAATATGTCACGTGCAACCATGCACGTGCAATTCAAATGATTCTAAATGTAACATAATTTGATCGAAAAAAGTGTTTTGCAAAGTTGTTTTATAATTAAATCTGATACACTATCTACTTGAATAGCATTGAACTTTCCTAAATCTAAAAACCATTTTCAACACATTTATTATCTTACCACACTCTGATAAAGCCTTGAAAACTCCACAGCATTGGGGGTAAGAATTGCTCTTTCATAATTCTTTATAATATCTGGTTCTATTGTCAGCAAATGCACACCGTCCTGTAAAGAACTTGGCAGTTAATTTCAAGAGCATTTTAGACACACATTTTATGGAATATTAATCCAACATCACATATCCTTATTTATAAATCTCCCAGGTCAGAATGACATCAACTTTCATGGCCTACACTAGACTATTTATGCAAAACATTATTAACAAAGTTCTCCTGTTGAAAAATATTACGATGAAAATCTTTATACTATGAGTTATAGGCTATCATGCGTATTTATACAAGATTGCCAGTTTCCTCCGACTAAGTTTGCTTCACGTACAAACTTACAGCATCAATAACCATGGGTATCTTCATTGACCTTGCCTTTTCAATGACTCTCTGAAAAAACACCAACAAGCATTGGTAATCAAGAAATGTGCACAACTCAGGTTATATTATGTCTTTAATGATTATCAAAAGTATAATTATATGAGTATTGTTTCTAAGTTGAGGTTTTTAGTTTTACCACAAATACACCATAGAGAATTATGATATCTCAACAAAAAAAACTATATAATTGGACATTAAAATGCTTCTATTTTCCCAACACCCAGTAGAGTTTTTTATGTGAAATTTATACTTCACATTTTCCATATCTTGATATTGTCCTCTAGACCCGGTCCTATACAATGTGTGTGCTTCTCGGTAGCACTACAATTTCTTCCTCATTATTACATCTTGAAATTCATATTGAACTTATTGAGCCTAACTAAACACACACATGCAAAGCAACTGCAGCGCATTATATATATATATATATTAGTATAGTATATTATATAATATGTTATATTAATATATTACATATAGTGATATTATATATCATTTCGTACATAATATATTATATATATACCTGTTTTTATAAACATGCCAGCAATGAACAATACGAGTTATCAAGAGTAATGTGATATTCTGAATTTCATAGTTAAGTAGTTGTAATGCGCTTGATGCGGGTTCTATAAGATGGACTTTGATGAAGGGGAAGAAAGGACTCTTGGTATTATTTACAGATAGATATGTGATGTACATATTATACACTAAAGATCTACAAAGTAGAATGAATAATGTACAACATACATCGTATGATGTGTTAATACATATTATGCAGATTTATGTAACTAAGGACGACTGATAAATTAAGCAATGGATGGAAATTAGTTCAGGACTGTTTAGACTTAGATCGCAAATATGCTTCACTCGCACAGACACATTGAGACACATCTGCTCCCTACACAACCACCAAAAGAGATTAGAAGATATATCAAATATTGACAGAGTGGGCGGAAAGTAGAGGGGAGGCAGGTGAGGCGGCGAAGGAGGCGGAGGGAGAGGAGAGAGAGTAGGGGGGAGGTTTGCTTTGATGGGAGGGAGTACGGAGAGTCACGAAATAGTAAGTATACTATGTTATACAATATTATTGAATGTATTTAGGATGCTAATCCTCATATATATTGAACTCGATATATATATATGATGTTCATCTCCCACGAATGCTGATTTAACAAAAAAGTAATGATATATTGAAACAGTTGTGCTACCAATTATTTAATGCACTGCATGAGCACGGCCACTTGATAATTTCGCATGTGAATTCTTTACACGAAGACATGATATTGTGACTAATTGTCACACTAAACAATGCAACATGCTCTCACCCACTTTAAGAGATATGCAGAAATATAGGAGCTCCTGTGTACTCTTTCTGACCAATAACTGCGATTCTGCCCTGCTGGCCTTGTATTGTCAGTAGGTCAGTGGAGGATGAGCTTTTTACGGCCGATACAATACTGGGGATCAGTGCATGAGTTTTTTTATGTGACCTGTGTCATCCTAAATAGACAATTGTCACATAAGAGATGCAAATCAATTATACAATGGTCTAATTCATACATTGTGAAAGTAATGCATTAATTTTCGAGTTAATGTTCGATTGCTTGAACCGTTGTCTTTTTGAACTGATATAAGTTATGCCACTAGGAAGTCTTTTATTCTAGTTAGATAGTATTGTTGAACCGCTTGCAAATGACTGATGTGAAAATGTAGATGGAGACTCTGATGATGAAAGACTTGATACAGGTAGCTTATTACTGATTTCATTGGATTTCATTCAAGTGAATAGTTTGGTAGCTAGGTCTAAACTCATGATCATTACTTAAGATAGTGTGATCAACCGGGCGCAGAGCGACAGCCGTATCTAACGTTTAATCCGGTGACTTGTGTGGTAGTGGTGGGATCTTGTAACCCTGTTTAGTCCCAAAGTGTGTTCAAATAACACGGCCGAACAGTGGAATGCACAGAGATGGTATCAGGAACTTCTTCAAAAAGATGTTCGTTGCGATTTCTGTTTATGGAAAAGTTGCACGCATTGATGGGCGCGTACGTTTTAAGTGCTCTGTCATGATTTAATGGATGAAGCTCCTTCATTAAGCGTGAGATAGAAATCGATATTGTGCTAAGCACTATTATGGACCTGACTTGTCGATTGTTTATTAAGCAGTAGCACTCATCCGATTTCGCTTACGCAAGCGATACAGGCTGCAAATTGCAATAGAAGAGCTGCAGCCATGAACCAATTAATACGCAGGCAAAACTGCACACACATGCATGGCAGCACCACTGGCAGTGGCTACTTTACATGTAAAATACTGACAGTTACAGAATGACATGAAGGTTATACGATTTTAAGAGGATACATACACTTCTGCTTTAACCAATACTTCTCGCTTTTGAAATTGTGCAATCAAGTTGACACTTTTAGCGTTATGCCTCATAACCTATCAGGGCATGTATAGAATCTTCTAGCGAAACCCGCAGTCAATTTATTTTCTTAAAAGGACAAGATCAGATATTCTCGATCTCAAGTTTAACCTCCTCTTGGGGTGTCATAAGGTTATCCGACATTACTCTTGCATTATGTCAGGAGAAGGGACATTTCATGGTCCTTTCAAGATAAACCATAGAATTGACTAGGTCACGCTGAAACAAAAAGTTTTTCAGTAGTCGGCAGGACATGTCTAGAAATGTTAAAATCTGCCCTGCTGCCCACTGGCCGTTTGACCTGTGACCTCCAATTTCGCACGTGATGGCTTTTCTCCAATGATTGCTATTACGAACCGACTATCACGAGCGCTAGGGTCGAGCATTTTTAGATTTGTTGCGCGCAATTCTGCATTTTCCTCCCTATACTTAAGTAAGGAGTGAATGGTTCCCTTCTTTTACACCTCTTTGACCTTTAACCTTATGACTCCGCTTGACATTGCCAAACTCGGTTTTCGGATTACGGCCTCCCCCACGTCCGAAATATTAGTGGACCGTAGTCGAGCGGTTAGATTTATTGTGCCCAACTGTTGACGCCCGGACGGACGTACCGGACGGCGATCATGGATTTTACAATGACTGAATTGACTATGCTCGATGAGCTAAAATCTAATCTTAAATGGACTATAACCCGTACCCTCTATGCTTTTACACTGTCTTGATATCATATATACATTAATGATGTGTTAATTTTATACTCGTGACTCGAAATCCGAAATGAGGTCCCAAGTTGGTGTTGCAAGACTGAACCCCAAGCCAGATCTTGCAGCGACAGTTCAGGCAATATGTCCATCATTGTGCATATCTCTAACATCGATAAGATAGTACTCAACGAGTATGACGCTGGACTGCATTGATTAAATATGTGCTATCTTTAGGCTTATATGCCTATAGTCAGGTCCCTTAGCTTCATGATCGTTACAGGGCTGACAAAAACATCAAACTTGGCAGTTGTAGCCTATGGCAGTACTATATATATTAGAGGGAGTGCCCAATGTAGATATTCCTTAGAAGTGAATTACAGATGATTAAATGTTCGAACCGTGCCCGCCTGTACTGGCGCATTGTATACAGCTGTTAACATCCCCCCCCCCTTGTGCATACGCTATTGTGCTATAGGCGGCATGAAAGTGTATTAACTCTCATATCTCGCGAATGAATTGAGCTACATTTCTAGAAATCTAGATACATATAAACACATATCTTAGCTATAATAATCTCCGTGAATTTTGCGTTTATTGAATTACGAATAGTTTAATTAATTACCAAAAATATACGCACGGTATCGCTCATAGGCTAATATATACACGTGGCTATGGCCCGTAGGATAGTGTACTAACTCTAATATCTCGCGAATTATTTGAGTTACATTTTCTAAAATTCTAGATACATATAAACCAGGAGTAGATAATAGGGAAGGAGTGTGACTTCAACAAACAAGGGAAATTCGTCATTTACTAGCCTTAGAATACCTACGATTTACTACGCGTAACTCAACCAACTTGCGCTCAAATCGTACACAGTACATTCGCCTAGCATCGTGCGAAATCATTTCCTCTTATACACCCGCAATCCGGAGATACAGACTAAAACGTACGACCCGATTATCCTTTCTGTTGCCAGCAAACCAAATGTAATGTCCGCCGAACTTGAAACAAAAGGCAGCTACTAACGCACTCTTGCTCACTCGGCGAGGCGGTGTGGCTCGCTGGGAGATTAGAGCTGGAGCTGCTGCTGATTGCGGTGGGCATGCGTGCGTGGGGGGCATACCAGCTGTATGCCGGTACCTGGCCAGTATGTAGCTGTATGCCGGGTCAAAAGTTATCTCGCCGAGTGTTGCTTCGATGTCTAATCTCCCAGCGAGCCACACCGCCTCGCCGAGTGAGCAAGAGTGCGTTAGTAGCTGCCTTTTGTTTCAAGTTCGGCAGACATTACATTTGGTTTGCTGGCAACAGAATGGATAATCGTGTCGTACGTTTTAGTCTGTATCTCCGGATTGCGGGTGTATAAGAGGATACGATTTCGCACGATGCTAGGCGAATGTACTGTGTATGATTTGAGCTCAAGGTGGTTGAGTTACGCGTAGTAAATCATAGGTATTCTAAGGCTAGTAAATGACGAATTTCCCTTGTTTATTGAAGTCACACTCCTTCCCTATTATCTACTCCTGATATAAACACATGTCTTAGCTATGGTCTCTGTGAATTTTGAGTTCATTAAAGCACGAATAGTTTAATTAATTACCAAAAATATACGCACAGTATCGTTCATAGGGTAATATATACGCGCAGCTATGGCCCGTAGGATAGCGTGCTAACTCTAATATCTTGCAAAGGATTTGAGTTACATTTCTAAAATTCCAGATATCTACCTATAGACACATGTCTTAGCTATACTCTCTGTGAATATTGAGTTTATTGACGCACGATTAGTCAATATATTAGCAAATATATGCGCGCGAAAATGAATTACAGATGATTAAATGTTCGAACCACTCGACTCCGAACCCCCCTACCGCGCCTGCCTGTACTGTGTGTACTGGCACATTGTACAGCTGGTACATGTATTGGCATTGTATACTAGCGGGTGCGGTAGGGGGGTTCAGAGTTGGGTGGTTCGAACATTTAATCATCTGTAATTCACTTCTAAGGAATATCTGCATTGCCAATTGGCACCCCCTCTAATAATTGTACTGCCATAAGCTACAACTTTGCCAAGTTTGAGACCTTTCGTCGAAGTCGATTCGGCCTATATTTTGCACTAAGAAGGGACCTGACTACTATAGTAGTCA